ATGCTTTTGGCTCACTGTAAGAGAAATCTAACTAATGAAGCCCATACGTCATAGAAATAAACTATTTTACCCTAAACTACCTTCTCACTAGGAGTGGTGCATAATTTATCGCTCTCTATAAACCTAAAAGTGGGACCACTATATTATCCCCACACTGATACAACATAGGTTCACGATTTATCCATGGGGCCAACCATCTTACTTCGGAACTGGTCAATTTTTGTAGGAAAGTTATCCATTCCTTTTTAGACTTTTGTTCTGACCACCCACTTTCACAAAATTCTTTGATCGAAGCTCGATTATGAACATAAAGCTTAGAGAAAGTACATTTTCTCCATTCGAAATAGTTTTTCATCCATAAGTACAATAATTGTATGCAACCTATAAAACGCCTTCCATTTCGATGACAGTAACTCAAAGATCTGATAGTCTCTGCTAATATTACCGTTGAAGGGTTACAACCATTGATCACACTCTCGAAGAAGTCAACCACTGTTATCTGAATATAACCTAAAACTTTTAGAAAGATCACTATTTCGTACATAGCTAAGGTAAATACATCTAACTTCCGTTCTTCGTTGGCATGTTGTACTAAAAACTCATGAAAAAACTTTCAAGGTAGGCAAACCTGTTTTTATTTCTTTTTTGTATGAGAATCTACAACTTCTTTGTCTATCCCCATGAGTTGAGCCAAACCCTTACGAAATCCTGACTTGTGTTTTTTGACATATATCTTATCAGGAGCCTTGAGGTGGAAACCCAACAAAGTCGAATATTCTTCGATGGTTGATGTCATATCAACTTCATTAAAGATGAAACACTTGTGTACAAGATCCCAAAATTATGCTACAGCTCTGATTAGTTGATCGTCGACAACTACTACTAGAATGTGTGCTATATGCCTGTGTCTTTAACAAACTGCTCTTGTCTTGACGGACTCATATTCTTTCATATATCAATCAAATCCTCTAGATTATTCTGTTTAAAAAGGATAGATGTTTCTTGAGACAAGATAGAATCATATCCGATTGGTAAACAATCCCTCATCTTCAGTTGAATCTTTTTTTACTAGATTCTTACTTCGTTGGGTGTCTCACAAGGTGCTAATACAAATGAAGAACAAACTAGTCATTTTGTGGAGTCCATGAAAAATTTCTGTTGAAGACCGTCTTTCAAGCAAATGTTCTTTATGTAACTTTATGATATGAGCATGAACCAATGCAAAAGAATGAGAGAAAAGGTTAGTATGCCCAGGGAAAAAAAGAATAAATAAATAACTAAGTAAATTAAAACATCACACAAAATAAGAAGAATAAACCCTATGTTTCTGGTCAATTCTAAAAGGGAAGAATGATGGCTCTATCTATAGGCTAGACATTCTTAAGGTTCACTATATGAGGTTTGAGGTTAAAGTCTAAAGGTTTCCAAATTGCTTCTTACATCATTGTCCATCACAGACTAGTAAAGCACCCTAATCCTCACCCATTACAGGCTATAAGCAAAAAATATTCAATTTGAGTGGGAGTATTTCGATAGCCACTGCGAAGGTATTAGACCTCACGAAAGCAATAGGTACTTTACTCCTTTCTAGAGGGACGAAGTTCGAGTATAGAGCTCATGTTATGCATATACATATGAATGACATAATTAATAAAGTAAATAAACATGAATGAATAAATAAAATATATACAAAAAGGTTCAATTTTATTAGGCTTTTGGATAACACAAATTTATTTGCTGGCCTGACTCTCAGATATTCCCAGCAGAGTCGCCAAACTGTCATAACGTCTAGATCCGGGGATCCATCGCTAGACATTGACTTGAAGGAGTCGCCACCAATCTTTTTTATCTAGGTGCGATTGGCCACTTAAGGAATCTATCATTTTCAGGGAACACCTGAGTTTAAGGGTCTTTAAAAGAATAGGTTCAGGTCTACTAACCAGAACAGGATTCAGGAGTTCGATTACGTGTGAGGAAGGTTATAGCACCCTCACAACGCCCATTGAAAATATGGTACTAGCTTAATTTTGTGTTATCCAATAAGCCTTAAAAATTTACCAAGTAATTAATTATTAAAAATTATTCTTAATTGACTCTAATACTGTCAGCAGAAAATTGAAAAGATTCTCTCACCTCAAGAGTATGCAAAGAAACTACCGTTTCACTTGCAGAGGCTCCATCGTTGGATTATTTAACATTAAAGAAACTTCAAGAAAATAAAAAGGAAAAAGAAAAATAAATGATTACTTTAGATATAAACTCTTTTCTCTTCAAAAATTCATTGCTTTTGTACAAGGAAAATTGATACTTTCAACTTTTTCTCAAAAATATTTTTTAGAAAAAAACTAACTTTCAAGGAAAATTGATACTTTTAACTTTTCCTTAAAAATATTTTTTGAAGACTTATTCTCAAGGAAAATTGATACTTTCAACTTTTCCTCAAAAATATTTTTGTTGGAATTTTATTTAAAGAGAAAAAATAAAAAATAAAAATAAAAATAGAATAAAATAAAATAAAAAATACTAAATAATTCTAAATTTAGTCAATAAATAATAATAATAATAAATAAATAAATAAATAAAATAAAAAATTTTGGGAACAGCTCGGCTCGGTTAGGCTTGAGGAAGAAAAACGGCTCGGAGACGCGGCTCGGGAGTACGCGACTGGCTCGGCTCGGCTTCGCACTCGGATTACACGCGGGTTGACGCTCGGGTCAGGTCACCCGATTTCAAAACGCGTGAATCCTCTGGAAATAGTAACGCCAAAACGACGTCATTTTCAGTCAATATAAAAGGCTAATTTCTCTGTTTTTCAGCAGATCGATCCTTCTCTCTCTCTCTCTCTTCCTTTCTTTTCCTCTCATCTCTCTCTAAACAGACGAAGAACTCCAGTTGAATTTCATCAGATTTTGAAAATTTTCATCGGAATCTGGGTTTTTCGTCGAAAGTTCACCGAAAAGCTGGTTGGTTTCTGGAAATAGTCGTCGAAAACTGGGTAGCTAGTCGAAAAATTCAAACTTGACCGAAAAAGTCACCAAAAATTTTAATCGGAATCTAAAAATTTTTCAAAAATTTTCAGAAAAAAAATTCGCCAAAATTTCTAAAAATTCTTGAAATTGTTTCTGACCCTTTTGGACGCCTTTTTCTTTCTCTTTTCGCTCTCTCTCAGTCAATGTCTGCTTTGCTGTGTCCTAGTCTCTGTGATTCGTGGATCTATTTATAGGGATTGATCAGAAGAGTTTCTGATTAATCCCAACTCCTCATTGGATTGGGATTTAATCCTTGAATCCAATATGAACTTTGATTGAATCTCAAATTCACGTGAAATTTCAAATTTCCATCCCAATCTCAGTCGAATAAAAAGAAAAAGAAAATCAAACCAAATAAAAAATGTTAATAGATAATAAAAAAAAATTAGATAAATAAAAATATTAATAGATAAATAATAATATATAAATAGATAAATAATAATAAATACATATATATTAACAGATAAATAATAAAAAATATATATTAATAAATAGTAATAATAAATAAATAATAAATACATAAGATACAAAATAAAATAAAATAAAATAAATAAAAATATAAAACACAAAAATAAAATGGGTCTACCCATTTAAATCAAATCAAATTGATCCGAATTTGGATCAAATTGATTGTCTATATCACTAACTATGAAATCTAAATTGAATATGTCAGAAAAAGAGATGGGGAGGAGCTGCTGCCCACTGAGTGCTGGGTGCTGATTTCAAATTAAAATACAATATCAAAAATATTCTGTGCGATCACCGTTGATGAGTGCATGGCATATGCTTCAGATTAGATCAGTTTACCATATTATTAAATTATATATTATTATTATTATTATATTTGCAAAATTGGACAAACATCTTCAGTCATTAGAGGCATCATCGTACATATTATAAAATACACTATTTAACAATTTACCAAACCCTTTCTTCATATCTCTTTGGTATTATTTCTCTGCTTTTGGTTTGTCTGTTTCTGTTGCATGTTTAGTGTTTTGTTCTCCGTTTTCTGAAACAAAATGTGACAATGAGGGGAAGGCTGAGGAGAGACAGAGGGATGGGGTGTTGTGGGGTTGTGGCTCAAATCGCAGCCTGGCTGAGGCAGCCTACACATGTCTCGATACTACATATATATATATATATATATATATGTAAACAAGTAAACTTGGCGCGGATGATGGAACTTGGAACCTAAAGCTATTATTGAAGGTTAGAAAACGAAAAAAGATTAAAAAAAAAAACGTAGAGGATCCAGTGCGGAAGCTGGAAAGCCCCATTCTCTTATACGCCTAATAAAATATGCAAACAATCATTTACTCTACCTGAGAATTGAGATAGAGATAGAGAGAAAGAGAGAAGGCGAGAAAGAGTTTCTTTTTAACTCGCAACTTGTATTGCTAATATATGTTGAATAACAATGGCTCAAAGGACGTTAAAAGTGACAATTGTACGGAATCGCCTCATTTAGTAGCCCACAAAAGTGAGGATTACAAACATTTGGATTGAACTTGACTGGTGGACATTTAATTGAAACAAATATGCCCAACTAAATATTGCTACTCATTTTCTCTTTTGGGTTGTGTTTTAATTTTGCATGCTTTGGTTGGGTGGATGATAGGCCTGAAACAGTTACTGACCCCTCAACAAATCGGCTTGCCTCAATTGCTCAAGCTCGTGCTTTCCAAGCTAACTTGTCTGTGGGCCCATAACAGATCTCTTCCTAAAGCAAACAAGAAGCCCTCTGTAACTTTTTGAATAACCTAAAACGTTGTCTTTTTCATTATTTTTTTGTTTTTTTATACGTAAGAGATATATGGAGAAAAAAAAAATTTCGGATGCTAAAATTCAAATCCCAAATTTACTTAATGTCATTTTAAAAATAAATTATATGAATCAATTAGATTAAACTAAGCTATTCTTTACTTGTCAAATGGGCTAGAAATTCAGTCTGGTTTTTAAGCTTTGTTCCATTAGTTCATACATCCAAATAACGTTACCTTTGGTTGGTACGAATGTACAAAAAGAAAAAGCCTACAAACAACTAAAATTTCCCCTTACCTTTTATTTCCCCACTTTTCAGCATATCATCCAAGGTGGATGATACAATGGAATTCAAAGTTCCATGAAAACTAGTAAATCGCGATCCTTAAAACTATATATACTAACAAGTTACAACAGGATAAAAAATAACTACTGATTAGGAATACATGTAATAATGGAGACTAACTGGGACAGTCGGGAAATTTCACACAGCATTATTCCTGGTACGAAAACGATTTCAACAGCGCAATTATCGAAGGGTTGAAACTAATTGATGAGATGGCCACGAATATTATTTCCATGTCCAAAGACCAGCCTGCTAGGAGCAGCGGTTTTCTGGCAGTCCGATGAACAGTTCTGTCTCCACCAAAGAGCTCTGGCTACTATAAGTTGCAGTTTCTTTCTGTTGAGTTGATGGCTGCCATCGCTCCCCACCACTCTAAAAAGTTCAGGGTGAAGAATTAATATCAACTACCATTATCCAGGAAACTTGAAACATGGCCAGCAATTCCCATTCACTCTTTCATCATTCAAAATAAATGTTAGTTTTGGATCATAAGCTCAATTAATCAAAAGAACATGAAGGTCATGAATCATTCCAGACAGTAAATAAGAGGGTATGAAATTTTGGAATGAAGGATTACCTTTGCAGATAACTTTGCATTCTCTTCTCGTAGAAATCTCTCCTGAATCGAGATGAACATAGGAAACTACTATCAAATGACACTTAATCTCCTAATGGACAAGTCAACTGTTGCACACTTGATTAGCCATCATACCTTTGCTTTTAGTTGCTCTATCTGCTCCATGAATAAATGATCCTGGAACATACAGACGTAACAAAATTCATTGCATTCGCTTAGGTTTGGTATGATTGATATTTATACTTTTTTTTTGTAAAATACGAATAAAAAAGTAAAAAATACATGATTATAAATCAAAAGATAAATAACAAAAGCATCAATCAAATGAAACTATACATTCTCATATTTTGTTGCTGAGACATGACATGAAAAAGGGCAGTTCAATTTGCTGCTTACAAACCTTTCTTGCTCTGATGTTTCTTAAGCTTCGTTCTAGCTGACTTTCAACCTCTTGAAGTTCCTCGACAGAGCACGAACCCAGACCTTGACCCAAGAGCTTCCTGAGACACCAAAATATCAAAGTTCAGACGGACCTCATACTTGGAAGAATGTGCTAAGTAAAATACATGTCTGGAAGAAGCATCAAGCTGTATCTAATACCTTTGAGAAGCTTCAATAAGCTCAATCTTCCTGACCATGTTTGCTGCTTCAAGCTCCGGTTGCTGCATCTCAAATCGCATAAACAAATCAGAAGGTACATATGCGCTGTTGAAGAACGCAATGAAGTTCATAGAGCAGTAAAAATTATGCTAAATCATTATTCAATTCCCAAGAAACGCAGTTGCCATGTTATCATAGCTCTGAAGCTAAATGATTATTAGATCTGTTTGAACAAATTGTAAAAGTAGCACCCAGTATATGATAACCATTTAAAATCATCTAAAAATCTTATAATGAACTCAGGAAAGTATCATTCTCAAGTAACAGGTAGAAGTATGTCCTATTTATGTTTTCCACTAGGAAATAGTTGCTAACTTTAGCGTATTAGCAATGATTTCTAATTCTATGAAATGTTAATTAATTTTGTATACCAAAAATTTGAGAAAATATATAAATTGGTATTAAAAAAATAAAATGTAAAATTTGCACCATGAATTTTCGAATAATGTATAATTTTAATTTACATTCTAATATTATTAACTTAGTCTTTTTAGTATCTAATTAGTATAATTTTGTTATAGTCTTTTTAGTATCTAATCAATATAATTTCGTTATATGCATGTTGTTTGTTAAATAAAAATATTAAATATTTTATATAAACTAAAACACTTTATATGAATGTCACGTGATAAAAAATTAATAGATCAGTCCTAAACATTTTTTATGGTTCAGATAAAAAATATTTTTTTAATTTATATTGAAAAAATATTGATAGTTTGTGTACTAAACACATAATTTAATAATATTTGTCAAATATCACTTTATAAGCTGGTATAATTAGCAAGATTAGAATTTAGGTTAATATGGTACATAATTTAAAAGTTTAAGGTGCAAATTATATATTATTTGAAAGTTCAAGGTACAAATTATAAAATTCATTTCTTTAAATACCAATTTATATATTTTTTAAAGTTTAAATATCAAAAGTGTAATTAACACTTAATGAAAGCATTGAAAGGCTTGAACCTTATATCCATACTCAAGGGAGTTTCTTGAATGAGCAGTAAGGATAATTTTAGCTAGCAATATCTTATGAAACATGAACATAGTTGTCCTAAGTACCACATCAGAATTTAGGATTTCCATCACTGTATTTACAAATGTACCATAAATGAAGCATGCAAAGTTTGATGAGTAACAAGAAAATTAACTTAAATAAAGTCTTTCATAGGTAACTTTTAGATTGTGGTGTTTCAAATCTTAGTTTTTTATATATATATATATATATATATAAACTTTCATGGAAGATAAAGTTTGTTGGAGAGAGAGAGAGAGAGAAATGAAGTCATAAGAATGAAGTGTATGTTGTTGCATGCAATTACAAGCATAACTTTTGTTTTTCCTTTTTGTTCATGACTTTTTATAGCAATTCATCATTTCAAAAACCAATTCACTTCAATATTTTCCTTTGTAGAACATATTCTACTCTTTCCACCTAATACTAAAGAGTAATTAATTTTATTCTTCATCATGATGATTTCTTATTTGTTGTATGCATAGTTTCTCTATTCCCAGTCTTTAGGACAAGATTTATAAATGCTTCCCCCATGGGCCAATTATGTAACCTTAACTCTATAAATTTGATCGTCACCTTTTTCATTTGACTAAAGCACCGTTCAAAAATGTTCAAGAGACAGTGAAAAGAGCTATGGAAACTCCAACATAGAACTAGAAAGCATTTTCAAACTTTCATGATGATGAGCTTTTATAAGTTAAGCCTTACATGTTTTCTAGGTTACAAGACAGTGGCAAAACAAATAATATAAAATTGGACAATGATACTTTCACTCTCAAAATTCACTTTCCTTTTTCATTTATTCCTGCATTTCTAACCACTCTTCAAAAAACTCATTCTGCAATGACTTGCAATGAAGACGCAACAGAAAGTTCTTAGAGTAAACTAGCATGAGCCTATAAAATTTCAGTGAATATAATGCCTCACCTGTTTTGAACTGTGAGAAGTACTTTGTGGTTTAAAGTTTAAACAATGAGATAGAAAAACCAATTGCAGGTAGTTGGCAATACTTTAACCTAATCTTTGTTACCAAGAAATTGTCTTTAAAACATAAAGGAAACTTACAAATAAGCATGTGTTAGTTAAGAACTGTCTTTGGCTTAAAAAATTCATAAACATTTGAACAATCAAAAGATTGAGGTCTAACCTGAGTGTATCGTTCCATTTCAGGCTTGTCAGTTTTCACTCCTTTGGCATACTTATGGTATCGTTCTATCGTCTTTTGCATGCTGATGCATCCAAAACACAAAATGAAATCAGTCCACGTTATCTATTTGTAAGGAATACAAATGATGAAAAAGCCACTAGCATAATTCAATTGTTCTTTCATGGGAATATAGAGGAAACATTTCTAGGTTTGACAAATAAGACAAGTAATTTTCAACCTACAATACACACACACATAGAGAGAGAGAGAGAAATTGTTATAAAACCATGTGGAGATTAAATTCTTAATAAGTATTTTCAGTAGAATGAGCAAAGTGTACAAAGTGTGCACCATATCTACCGATGGACCAGTGGACATCATGCAATTACAGTCCTATCAGCGCACGTTGCTGGTTTCACGCAACATTTTTTTCATGGTGTGTGCAGTATGCTCTCATGACTTGACCCTAGTGTCTTATGCTTATTAACCCAAGGCTTTTACCTTCATATCTACCATTTCCAAATGAAAGGCCTTTTGATCTTAATTAACTGTATTCTAGTTATTAATGGGACTCCAAATGCCACATAATGCGAAATTTAATCTAGTGCTTTCTCAATAAATAAGCAGAATCATCGTATGTCTTGAATATTAGTATCTTTTCTTATTTCCTATATAAATTGAGAAAATGAAAGTTCAGATTGTGCATGAGAAACATGGAAATTCATCTATTCATAGGGGAAAAATGCATGTCTTGCTGCTATATTACATACTATATATTTCCTGTAAAATGAAATTTGTCAGATTCAGTAACAAGAAGCCTGTATAAATGAAAAATAGGATTTAAGATTGTGAATACATCCAAACAACAATCACCACTTAACTAAGATTATGCTTGTGTCAAGATGTTTACAAATGGATGGAGGTACCGGATTGATTGCTGGCTTCAGTGGAATCATCATATCTGTTGGATATAGTAATGTTTTTTCTTACTTGGTATATGTTATGCATTGAGAAAATGATAATTAAAATTGAGCGTGTGAAACATTAATATTCATCTATGCAGCACATGAAGAAAACAGCTTCGCTTTCTGCTACCCTATATATTCAAAGTGAAAGGAACATTAGAAGATTCAGTAACTTTAAGCCTCTATAAAGGACCAAAGAAGAAATTAGGATTGCAAGTATATCCAAACAACAATGAACAAAAAGAGACTTTCTAAGCAGATTGCTTGACTGGACATGTACATCGTTTGTCAAAAGTAGGTTCCAAATTTAATAGAGGGTTTCTACGAATGCACTGATTCTAAACAACAACTATGAATTCATCTTGGAAACTAGGAAATTGCATTTTGCATTTACTAGATGCAACATTTGTGCAATATTTGTCACAAATACCAAGGTGTCGATTCTATTGATATAGGGTTTTCTCACATCTCATTCATTTAAATTGTCCATAGATGCCACAGACGTCTTGTAGCTTAATTTGTTCTACCATGTATATATATATATATATATAGAGAGAGAGAGAGAGAAACTGTCTATTTGGGTACTATATCCTAGCTAAAAGCAAGCAAAGCCTCTTCATAAAAAGTGCCCAATGGTGGATTTAAGATTTTATTTGAAAGTGGTAAAGGTTAATATCATAAATAACCTTTAAATTATATTAAAATGTATAATGTGGAACCTGAATTTTAAAAAATCTATAATATGATACTTAAACTATAAATCTATTAACTAATGCAGTATACACTCCTAACATTATTAGCTTCAAATAATGATATATGATGGACAAACGACCTTTTATGTACCACATTAGTTAATAGATTCATAGTTCATATACCACATTTGATGCTAGAAATTGATGTTTGAGATGTGGAGATTAATTGCAAACAGAAAAACTCACAAAGAAGACAACTCATAAGAATTTGAATAATGACAGAATATGATTATTAGATTAAAAGGATAAAAGTTCACCAAGACCAAAAACTAAAAGATATAGAAACACCATTTTAAGAATTTTAATCGAGGATACAGAATAATAAAAGTTCACCACTCTCGAAAATCCACCTAAGGGATATATAACTTGAAGAACAATCTGAAAGATTACTTAAGGATAAAGAAAACTCTATTTTGCCTTTTACCAAAGAATAATAGAAAATATATAGGCTAGGAACATCCCTCAAAGCATGAAAACTTTCAGATTGTATTGCTAGAATCGTGTTTAAAATCAAGGGATTTGCATGTGAACTCATTTACTCCTGCAGATTATATAATAATGAATCTGACCGTAATCTCATCCATATTCATGCTCTTCTTCTCTAGCTAGTGTGAACACAATCTTCCTATTTTAGCCCTTATTTCTACATTTATTTAGTGAATTTGGATCAAAGATAGGCCCATCTTACTTTGGATAAGTCTGTCTTAGTTTCAACCCAAGTTGTATGAGGTGTAACCACTCTAGTGTCTATCTCCTTTAGTTGGAAATGACTTGTCCTCAAGTCTAAAATAGTATTCTTGCCATGGTAGGGTGAAAAATCAGCAACATTAAAGGCAAAAGATACTCCATAAGTGTCGAAAAACTTTATCTTGTAGGCATTCTCCCCAATACGTTGAAAAATTTTAAATGGATCATTTACTTTAGGTTGTAATTTGCCAAACTTCTTTGGAGAAAATCTCTCTTTCCACAAGTTAATCCACACCAAATCATGTTCTTTAAACATCACATGTCTTCGATGCATGATTATTATCTTTTTATATTTCTCATTTTTTTGTAAAATTCTATTCTGAACCTGTTCATGAAATATTTTGATACTCTTGACTCTTTCTTCTACATCTCCATCAAAATGTTAATTAGTATAAAGTTGAATTAAAACTAAAGGACAGATTGCATTCTTACCAAAAATAATTTCAAAAAGGCTGCAAACAATGGTTTGACTTGCTAAATGGTTGTAGGTAAATTCCACTTGTAGTAAAATAAGTTCTCATTGTTTTAGTTTCTTTCCTGCATAACTTTTCAAGAAAATTTTTACCTTGTTAGGTAGAATAGCTATTGGTTTAAGGTCTATGCAGTGCTGAATGTCCTCTATTGGTGATAAACCAGCTGATAACTCTTCTTAAACAACATCTTGAAATTCTGCCAATAATGGTTGTATCACTACAAGGGGCTCTACACTATCTTTATTCTCTTCAGTCAATACTAGTGCATACATAATATCGCCCATCTTAATTTTTTTTTGTAACTGACCCTGGTAAACAAGCTGCTTTCTTCTCTTTTGGTTGGTTTTGACATCACCATGGACTTGGTAGGGCCTAGGATGATTTTGCATCCATCCTTCACAAATGTGTAAGTGTTGCGATAACCATCATAAATAACCTTCCTATCATAATGTCAAAATCTTTCAAGCAGTAAATGACAAGCTTCCATTAGAGCTACATCACACTACACTTCACCCTTGTATTGCTTTCTCATAGAAAAAAGAACCAAACACCTCTTGATAATCTTGATTTTATTCTTTTTCTACAGCTAAGATAGCTTATATGGTTAGGGGTGATCCACTCTCTTGATTTCTTCACCATAAAGGTAGAAACAACATTTTTAAAACTTTCACTATCAATTATAACATCACATACCTTCTAATGGGAAATACAACGAGTATGAAACATGTTTTTATGCAACTAATCTTCTTCCTTAGTAGGTGTCATACTCAAGCTACATTGTATGACTAAGGATGCTCCATAATCGTCATAGATTACCTCTTCCTCTTTTTCAAGGTTTTGATCTTTTTCAACTAGCTTATCTTCATTTTCCTTTAAGTATTCCTCTACTAGAGCCACAATCTTCTTGTTCGGGCATTTTAAGGTAATGTGTTCAAGCCCTTGACATTTAAAACACCTTTTGGTTTGTTTAGTAGACTGAGGCTTGCCTTTTCGGGACCCAAATCTCAAGTTGCTACCATGGGCATCCTTTTGTTATCTCTCCACCTTATGGCCAAGCTTGCATACATCATTGATAGTCCAATAGGGTTTTAGTTGCACTACATTAGCTATCTCAACCTTCAATCTTCCAAGACTCTGGATAATAGTCTACTCCTCCTATTCCACCAATTCGTATTTTAACATAAAGTGGTTAAACTTAATCGTATACTTCTCCACTGAGAGATCTTTTTGCTTCCAGTTATAGAGCCTAAGAAAGACGTCTTGCCAAAAGTTGTCTACGAGATACTTTCTCTTCAACTCTCTTTTCATCTTCTCCTAAGTTGTAATTTTTTTCCTTCTTTCTTTTTCCCTTTGCTTTTTCAAATTTTTCCACCACAAGGATGCATACTTTTTGAGTTTTGGTAACTAGCTTCACCTTGAGATGTCTAGAGGTATCATGGTATTCAAATATATGTTCCACTATGTATAGCCAATCTAAGAATTTTTTAGGTTGCATCTTCTCCTCAAACTCAAGAAACTCTATATTCGGATTGAATATGCTAGGTTGAATTTGGTTTCTCCGTAAATAGTCTCTGACTTGTCTTGGATGAGATAGAGTGCTAGCATCAGAATCACTGTTGTTTCCATGTTATAGATTGGTTTATCATTCATCTTCTTTGTTTCTCATTCGTTGTCTCCTTATCTCCTATTTCTCTTTTTGTATATGCAACTGATGTTGTAGTTGAAGGATTTGTTACCGCATCTCCTCTATGAAGGCATCCCTTGGGTCAATATTGGTAGTTGCTAAAAAATATATTGGCTAGAAACATCCCTCTAAGCATGAAAATTTTTAGATTGCATTGCTAGAATCGTGCCTAAAATCAAGGGATTTACATGTGAACTCATTTACTCTTGCAGATTACATAATAATGAACCTGACCAGAATCTCGTTCATATTCATGTTCTTTTCTAACTAGTGTGAACACAATCTTCCTATTACAGCCCACCTTATTTCTATATTTATTTAGTAGATTTGGACCAAAGATAGGCCTATCTTATTTTTGGATAAGTCTGCCTTAATCTCAGCCTAAGTTTTATGATGTGCAAAAACTCTAGTGTCAACATTAGAGTTTTTAAAGTTTAGGTATCATATTAAACATTTCACTA